TGATGATGATGATGATGATGAACGATGCTTCAGCTCGCGAACTGATAGCCATATCAATACCGACAAAGCCCACTACGGTATCATTCGCAATCATAATGTTGTAGCATCTACATCGAGAAGGTACTTTAGCTACAGCTGCTTGGATCTTCAATTCGATTTTGAGAGATGCAGCGGATAACAATCGATAAAGTATCTGGAATAAGTGTAAAAACAAGAGCCTGACAGATCCACCTGAGAACTCGTATTTCGAACATAACAAGAAAAACGGAGGAACGAAGCGTGGACAGCGGCGGCGTGCCATAGGTCAACCCTCTAGGTGCCCCAGTGATATGTCAACAATTGTGATCAGCGGAAGAGTGGTCGTCAAGTTAGCCATCTTGGGGTTTCGGGATAACAATGAAGAAATATCGGAATCGTTTCGCTTCACCGCCCCAATGTAGTAAAAAAGGCGACCCGGATAGTGTATACACGCAATGGTCGATGTGGCATTAAGGTTTATGTGGCTTAAGTACTGCCGGGCAGGGTTCTCCGTGAGGGCGTTTGACTCAAAATCCTGACCGCAAGGTAACAGTAGTCGGTGTGAAGCCACTTGGTTGGTCTATACCCGGTCGAACCTAAAGCCGAAGGGGTAGGAGATTTTGCTTGTCAAACCTCTATTGATTGACCAACCTAGTAGGAGAGACCTGGCATTGCATAGACATTTATCTGTACGGCTGAATAAACCCAAAAGCAAGAAGACACCATATTACGCGAGATTGCACCAAGGTCCTGGCATCTAAGCAGGTTCAACAAGCAGAATCATTGACACCGATTCATGCTAGCTAATCTCGAATACGGTATGACAGAAAAACGCGTAGATCAGTTTGAACCACCGTAACGGAATCCAAGCAGTCAGAATTCTAAAACTCATGAAGAGGGGATCGGGAATCCATGACAGACAACAGCCGTTGTAAGGATGTGTGGGAATTCCACCGTACACCCTGAAAGAAATAGAGGAATAAACGGCGGTAATAATATTTACATAATTCAAGAGGATTTTTTACTGAGTAAGCGGGCTTATAAGTGCCAGGTGAAGGCTATCTTGAGTGAGATTGACGATCAACAGTGAGCGTGACAGTGCTCAGACTTTTCTTGTCATCAAATTGTGATCAGTGCACTCCTACCTGATAGAAGTCGAATGCCGATTCAGCAGTGCCGCTCAAAATGAAGGAAAGCCTAGTCGATTCGAGTCTTAATCATCAAAATTTATGTGAAGTAACTCCTGTCGAAGAGGCTCATAAACGCCTTCAGAACAACCCGAGTGTATGGCAAAGAACCAGCAGCCTGGCGCGTAGTATATCTTTTTACTGTGTATTTGAACTACTGAATTCGTATCAGCAGCATGATGACACCGAACAAATTCGGAGGGCGACTGGACAGTGGTGGGCAGCACAGCTGCCTGACAAGCAGGACAGCCCACGAAATAGCGCACAAAAGGTGCTACGCCAAGGCGTAAGAAAATACGAACGTTAAAAAATTAAAAGAGGAAAACCACCGGAATACAGCTGTGATACACGGAGATGGGGTCGTCGGAAGTGTGCAATCAAACAATACTGTCCTATGTACACCAAGTGTCAACTGTCAGCAGCAACAACGCAAAATCTATGTGGAACATTCCAAAAACACGCACGCAAAGGTGGGCTAAATGCAGCCACACATCAAGTGTATCACAGTTGAAGAATCTGCGACGGTGGTGGTAGGGCTGGGCCGGGAGCTGAAGCAGCAACCGGTAGAGAATAAAAGGGTCTGTACATCTCCCACTTAGTGTGTGTTCAGTTACAGATGACTGTCCCGCACTGGATGAGATGAAGTTATACAATGGATAAAATGGATGATGCGTGAGATTCTACGGAAAAATTTGAGCGGTAAGTTCACGACCCATCCGTGAAACCTACGGGGTTGTTTGAATGGACATCAAAACCAAAAAGAATAGAAGTTTTAGGCGGCTATGAGGTCACATTAAGAGCCGCTCGATAGTTCATTAAACGTAAATGAAACTCGAAGCAGGTTCTTGGGATTCGGTGAATTGACAAGGGAGTCTATCATCCAAGCGAAGGAACTAGAGGTTAGAGTGGTTTTGTCCGTTGCATTGGTGTTCTTCCAGCAATCTGCGTATTTTACCGCTCCTGTTAAAGATGAGATGAGAAGGTGAACACAGGCGATTAGAGGAAGGAATAGGGGTGGGGGGCACATGAACGCCTAAGCTTACAAAACGTCGACACTGATTCTAACTGAGTGTGGGCATATAGCTTGGCGCTCCCTCGCAAGAAGAACATCCACGCGACCGAGCTAAATCGGTCTATAGCGTCAGCTTACAGCACTGTGGATGCAATTATATTTTAAGACCAAATACGGTGTTCTCAAAATGATTCAACGGAGCAAAATTCACTGGTACCAATTTATAGTAAAAGGTAGCAGACCAAACGTCAGACTTGAGTTCTATCATCGGTGGTTTTTTATATGAAATTTCCAATACTTGTGGTGGAATGTGAACAGTAGAACGTTAAGGTAATGGATATTGAAATCTTCCGGAACAGCTCTCAAGAGAACGGTTCTTCTCCACGACAGATATTGCTCACTACTACCGTTTTCGAGTGAAACTGGACATGCCGCAGTGACGGCATAAACAAACTAAAGTGATTTCCAAATGAGTGTATTTCTCGAAAACAGTCCAATTTGGGTTCAAGTAGAACATAAGGTTGACGGAAACTCGGGGGCTGCGCCTACCTGATGAGTCCCAAGAAGGGCGAAACCGGTCGTGGGCTGTCGAAGAGTTTTCAGCAACCTTGTGAGTAGTTTCCTTTATGAAAACAGTTCTCTAATTGGTCGAATGTCATTCGTTTTCCAACTTTCACATGATTTTGATAAGTGCAGAACATTGGGAAGTATCTTTTTAGAACACACACTGAGTCATAGCAACGAACACCTAGAATACCGCCCGCTCATACTGTCCACCAATTTTTGCAGTGGGAATGTGTGAAGTGCTTCCGCCCATTCTGGAAACAAAAAAAGTGATGTTTGGATGATGTTGCTGGGGGTTAGGAACATCTTGTCTTTATTGTATGTGAAAATTCCAGAAGTGGTAGGACACCAGAAGGCAGGAAGCAGTGATATGTGTTTTAGGACACGATTTAGCCGATTTTCTAGAACCGGACACTTCGATGATGCAAGTCTTTTCAAATGAGGTTGAAAAGTAGTGAAGTGGTACAAGCAATAACCAAAATTAGTACTACGACGATTGCCAACTGGTAATGGTCCTACGCGGGAGTAGATGAACACAATCTTTGTTAGCGAAATTCGCAGAGCAACAGAGCAACTCGGACTGAGTTTAGTCAGTAATGAACAAAGCTGCTGAATCTTTACGTCTTGCAGGCTGGATTTTCCGCGACTGTTTCCACTAAAAGCTCTACCGAGCACGGCAAGCAAGTCGTGCGTAAGACCTAAAAGTTGGGTCGGGGAAAACCAAGAAGTTGTCCCGTAAATGCTTATATATATAGAAATATATATTGTTTAAGGCTTCTCTAGGCCCGTTTCCTTTCATGTATTCGGGTACTCTTCTCCGTAAATACAGATGACAGCTCCTCACCAACATTCTCTACTGGCATGTCGAGGCGCCAGATGAAGTTCTCAGCAGAAAACGTATGTTGACTAACAAGATAAATGGTGCAGTGGGCCTTATAATAATTAGAACAAGACAACCAATCCAGAGGGTGTAGAATCTTTTAGGAGCTTACTTGCAATACACGAGGAACGGTGGGAGTTCGGGTTCTGTGAAATCCTGCAAATGATTGAGCATTATTTCCATGGACGGCATCCGATCAGACTTTTCGAGAAAATCTGAGAAGGATGAAAACAAAAGTAACGGAACAGGTAAAAGTATAGATTCACGACTGATTAGTTCATCACCTCGGATGTAGATTATGTGCCAGTGGTGTCCAAGTGCTTCAGTTCCGACCGGTAGTGATTACTTCAGGGACTAGGAGGTTAACAGACTCTGAGAACGGTTGCTTACTTTGGTGATGAGACTTTGCCTGAGGATGCGAATTTCTGTTATGGAATAGTTAAGTACTGGCAAAAAAGGCTCGGAAATAAGAATTTTACTAGCTAAAGGAGCACAACCACCGACCGACCCATCCCGAAGATCCTATCGAGGAAGAAATCAATAACTAGAGCGATTGAGTTTGTCGTTCAAGGTCAATATGCTGTCTTTTATATTAGGACCTGAGTGAATTCAGGACGACATGACGCCACACACAGCAAAACGGAAGGGGTCCATTAGGATAGACCATTCCCGATGAGTGAGGCATCTGACTTGAAAAACCCCATTCACAATGTGACAAACGGGTCTGTCCGCATTCGCTCTCGTCTGTGTTTACAAGAAATTTCGAGACTGCAAAGCTTCTATAAAGAGTTAAAAGATCCATTCTGGATGGTTTGTATATCGAAAACTTTTTGATGTGCTTCAGTAGTACCGAAATGAGCTATAGACCAGGCCTGGAAACCGAAACTGATAGATAAAGATAGTCCCCACCACCTCATCAGAACAAAGACCATTCATGGCGAACAGCATGAGTGATCATGTTTTGAAAGGAGACACCTTTGCTGAAGACACAAGAGAATGTTACGATACACGCAACCATTCTAGACAAGAGGACGATAAGACAGTGTGGATGGTGATTTTGCGGTCCACCCTTTCCAAAGCCTCCAGCACAAGACCGTTTTGTGATCATGGCCTCCGCCAGCATCTACAAAAATCAGGACAAGAAAGGGACAATTACATTTTTAAGACTATTATCCCACATGTGTTATAATATAAGGCAAGCTTTTGGTAAAAAAAACATTGTGCGTGATCTGATCCATCAAGCATGATTGCTGCTTTCAATCAACGTATTCCCGTCATGCATTCTCATCATCCATTTACCATATCAGAGCAACGTCAATGCCAAACGCTTGACTACATCGGCTGATAGAGGCCCACGGAATGGGAATTGCACACACATTCATAACATATGTGAGCTTAGAATATCACAATAGGTGTCTGATGCGCACGAGCTCATTCATGTGCCTATCCTTATCGTAAAATAATTCACGAAAGAATAACGTTTCCCGTTTGACAAAGGTGGATTACTATTACACTGAAAACGAAAAAGATAGCACTCGTTGGCTGGCCCAGCTGGTAAAGGAATTCAAATGAAGTAAACATATGTTGGCATAGCCTCATGAACGTCAGACGCACGTCGCAGCTTTCAATTCCCTGGTCATTTTTTTCATGGAACACAATCCGATCCAACGCGCTTTAGTTCAAGAAAATCTCCATGCATTTAGAGTGTTCGAGTACAAAAGAAAGCGCGCTAAGGTGTAAAGAGGGGAAGCAGGTAACCAATGCTAACACATTGTCATACGATATACCTACGAGATGAGCGTAAACAGGAGTTTGTCGCTTGGTAGTAGATGGGCGGTAGCAGAAGCGTCCAATATCTATGCTGCACCCTTTCCAATATCCAATTACGGAGAGTGCGGTTGTGTAAAATCATGTTGATGCCTTATAAGTTTAGCTGAGTTCAACGCCACATTCGAGCGTCACTGTGTTGGTGCACACACCTAATGAGCTCTTGTGGTACGTGACTTCATGAATTAGGAAAGAACTTTTCAGATGAAGTCAACATTCGGCGTCAACGCCCCAAAAGTATCTGGATCGAACGATTATTCATAAATTGTGACGCAAATGGAGATACCACGTTATCCAAGTAGGAATGAGAAATGAAGTGGGAAAAGATGACCAACAACGTGCGAAAGAAAACTTTGTGACTGTGCCACGTGGACCGTCAAAACTAAAAAAAACTGGCGCCTGAGGGTGAGAGCATGTTTATACGCACGGGTTTCTGTGTAAACTGGCTCACATACACCAGATGCTACTCTTTCATCAGACGAGCGGTCTGACAGCCCACATTTGTTCAATGCCGGGAATGCAGAGAATCAGGTCAAGGTACCAATTTATCAAACAGATCATCAGATAATTGATCATGATGAATTCATGGATCTAACAGTGCTACTGCGTACGTGCAAATGCTCAACAGTCTACTGATGGAGTAACTGCAGACGCCGAATAGGCTTAAACCAGAAAGTGTTTCCAGTTAGATGAAGCAACAGCTCCATGTGCCAGTTTGCTCAACCATGATCGGATTGAACATCTCCTGGTTAGTGAGTAGGCATATGTAGGCTAGACGACCGGCCTCGGAGATCACCAGATTTTACTCCGCTTGGCTTGTTCCTACGAAATCGATCGAAATCTATTGTATATGTCCTCATTTACTACCAATCAGCGAACCTGAACCAGATCTTACCCTGAAGTCAAAGAATATACCATCAAAACAAACCTGTGCGCGCCGCAGTTCAGCCCAAAGGGTGGGCAAGTGTACCTAAGCAAGAGGGAAGCACTTCGAGCATCTAAGCACATAAAATGGTGTGAAAGCAGTGACGAAAACAAACCCCTTTGAGGATCACACGTTATGACTGCATTTGTTTTTTAAAATGAGATTCTTCTAAGGAAGAGTGGTGAAGGCTAACTGCAGATGAAGAAGTCACTCCAAGTGGATATTCGGTCCTGTAAGTGAAGTCAGTCCATGTCGAAAGTTTAGAAGCACGACCACTACTTGTAATCATCAGAAGTGCGCGTCTGTAAAAACGTCCAGGGAATCTCGAACCCACGACTTCATAGCTGGTTGCTTAAACACAACCACTCGGCAACGAGTGGTTTCACTTACAGGACGAAATCTCCAGCAAGAATTTCCAAAACTCCTCACACTCCAAGTAGAACACCGTATGTGACGAGTCATGGCGAGCCCCCCCGGGGGATTTTACGCGCGTGAAAGTTAGTCCAACGGTTTTCGATGTGTGCAAATTTGGTAGAAGCATGTTCAAAACGTATTTCAAACGATTCGGATGATCCGCAGTGCATCGACTCAATCCGAGAAAGGATGATTCATAACGATGTTGTTTCAGTTAAGGTACGTTCTTGACGCAGAAACTTGTAATCCACCGAGTAGTATTTGAACCCGTCGCTACGACTGGGTACAACTTAGTCCAAAATGCCCGTTTTGCACTGAAGCAAGCGCACAACAACATAATTTCCCTTCATGTGATACGTAATTTAAAGGGGTAACGTTAGGAAATATCGTAGGCTCTTCGACCGCTACAGTATGAATTCCATTTCAAAAGTCGAAGACACTGATAAAGAAGTAAATGGAAATTAGCCGAAGCAGTTGTTTCGACTACTTGAACGTAATGCCCCTTGCACATAAACCATGTCGAATGGCCAGATGTATTCATTAGCCCAACTGCAAACAACTGCCACGAAGTCGAATGAATTCCAACACCCTGATAATCACGACGTGCGATCCTAACTTGTGTTAAACAAGCTACAACAATAAGACTGTCCCTATTTTCAACATACGGACGCTATGACGATGTCCGCGTCTACAGGTAGTGTAGATTACAGCCAACGCAGAATGAAGTGTCCGCTGACTTTGGTCCCGTAGATCCGAATGTATGGTCAGCACAATGTATAGCCAGCACAATGTCAACATGCACTACTTTAAAGTACAACGACCCAAATACACCCACACATGCCCACGTCGCCGTCCCACTGAAACTATGGGGTTAACCGGGAACCATCATGAAGATAGTAGACCTTGCCATTGTGTGACGGTTTGTTTGCAATTGTGACCGAATGGGCTATCCTGAGAGGTGTCTGTGCGACATTGAGTCCCTCGTAGCAAGTTAGTCAATGGTTACAGGTCTGATCAACACAGTCTCCCGGTCCTCTAGGCTGGGGGTTGCAACATGCATGGCGGATTTTAAAAAAATGGTAATGCAGTTGCATTTGCCGCCAAACAACGCTGCCTTGCGACCAGGCTATTGAACCGAAGGCTCAGGCAGAGGACCCTAATCGTCCTTTTGTCTAGGTCTAGGTGCCCTGGCAGTAAACCAGCGCAACTAAGTATACTCTCACGCCACATCGGTCGCCGTGTGGTGCTATCAGCCGGGTCGCCTTACTCGCTGCTCACAGTAGGGAGGGTAGGCAAAAGCAGACCGCTTCTGATGCTTCCCTTTCTCTTCCACATACCTTTTCTCCTCTTTACCCCCACCCAAGTAATAACTCTGTCCTTGTGGACCCATCAATTAGGCCACGCCATCTGCGCGGCGGTCTGTGCTAACAGCTTCAGGTACAGTTTCCAAGCCTTGACTCTCGGTCTATATAGCCGCTTCTAATCTTCACACTCTGAAGAAAGCAGAGCAACAAGCTGGCCTTGCTTTCACACTGGACTCTGTCTTCAAGGATAATAACCACGTGATCCACAAGGTACCTGGTTGGAGGCACTACAGGATATGGTTGCTAAACGATGTCAGTAACGTTCATGTAATCAGTTTCTATTCATATCATGGTTGTACGCCCGGGCACATTGAAATCCTACCCTGCAGTAAATGAATATGGGCGCAATGTTTACAACTCATTGACCATCGGATAACTCCAGTGCTGATGCCAAAGGTGAAGCGGATTCGCGCTCGAATCAGAACAAAAGTCGCAGTTGGTGAAACTGGGCAAATGAACAACACCTCAACAGGAGTATGTTCATGTCAACTTATGCTTGATACCTAAACAGATAAAAACTCACTAGCCATTAGGTTTGAGGATAAACTGAGAGGAGACCCTGGTAGAGCAATAGAGTCATTCTAACATAGTAGTGGGTAGGACAAGTCTGTTCGACACAAACAACGTTACCGGATGGTCACATGGACCTTCGTGTGTTCAACGAAAAATAAATGTTGATAAATGATACCAGGACCAACGAAATTCGCAGTATCAAGAGTGGAGAATAACAGATGGACATTTGGACCGTTCAATACATCACCTCTATTTACGACCATACCGGATATGTGGAACTTCAGATAAATGCAACTTTTTGGAGTACAAGGGGAGCAATATTTACAAAGCAAGGTGATTCAGCTGGGAGTTTGTGGGATAAGGAAACAGGTAGACCGATAACTCCTTCAACCGGTACTTCAAAATTTTCCGAAATTCGGTCGATTCGATCTGACAGCCGCGATGCACAACCGACTCGTCGCAAGCGCTGTAAAATTGGAACGACTGAGCGTTTATGAATGCTTTTCAGTCATGAACCTGAAGTCATTTTGTACGGATGGTTGATCCCTTTTAGAGATCGCTATGCTGTCCATCGATGTAAGTCCAACAAGACCGATAAGTATAGAATTGCGTACTGCCGTAATATTAAAATCCCAAGTTGAATAGAAAACATTGTAATGCAGATGAAAACCTCTCCTGATCTGTGTTAGTAGGTAACCTCCAGTTGAAAAAACTGGGAACGTTTGGTAACAGCTGTCTCAAACAGTATCAGCTAAAGGAAAAAGCTAAATGGATCAGTTGCATAGCTCCAAATCTTGTACCAGAGGACCGTACGCATGTTTGGATAATAGGTAAAGCAGTAAGAAATGGACAAAATTAACCTTGATTTTGCCCAAATAAACCCAATGTGGATGAGATCGGGACTGAAATCAAACAGCACGATGACTACCTACTCCATGCTGATCAACTGATTTAGTATCTGTTAAAAGCGGTCTTTTCAAGGACTACTACGAATTGACGGATAACGGTCACATCCAGGATTCCCACACTTTCATTGGGTGTGGGACAAATTTGAAACAGGCTTCTGATTAGATCCGCCAACCTTGACGCACGAGTTAGAAACTAGTAGGTTGCTCACAACAATGCCTTAAAAAAGCAACAGGTGTTTTAGGAAGCAAATAATAGCCAATCATCATGAAGCATCGCGTGGAACTGATCTGACCAAGCGAATAGGTGAGTCAGTGTTTAAAAGATGAACGACACACTATGGTAATACTATGGGTTTTGCATGTTTATGTGCAAACGTACAAGCACACGAGAGCTAAGCATGCTGTTCACCTGACAACTATATTTATGTGAGCTTGTATATCCTAAATCCCATATCACCATCGTTGTTTTTGGCACACGCCTAAGTCACAAAAACAAACTGCCAATACAGATGCGATCGAAAATTATTTCGCAACAGTCGGTCGCGTGCCAGAAAGCCTGTTTGACGTTGTGTTAGTTTTAAAATGAAAACGGCTTGTAAATAATGTCAATCCAAGGCTGAAAATAACGGTATGTGTTCTCCTGGATGTCCGGTCACCAGGCCGGAACTAGTCACTACACGATAATTAGAGTTGGAGCAAGAATCTTTTCTAAAAATAGTCTGCCTTGGGCAAACTTAAAACATACATTGAATTGTCTTCTCTGCGTACGTTAGAGTTCCAACAATGACAAAACCGTGCAGCAACTTTCAATGATTTTCGGTGAGCGTTCGTCCTTGTTTAATATTCGCTACCAATGTATGAAACTGGCGAAAAAGGAATCTGAGGACTACATCACTTATGCCGGTAGAGTCAACCTTGAGTGCGAACAATTCAAGCTATCTACCATGACGGAAGATCAGTTCGAATGCCTTATTTCATATGTGGTCTTCAATCGCATTCAGACAGTGACATCAGGACGAGACTATTGAGCGAGATTGAACAGACTCCCGAAATAACGCTGCAGTCAATTACCCATGAGTGCCAGCGCCTTTTAAATCTTAAGCACGACACGGCCATGCTGGAGAAGCCTTTATCCAATCCTGCGTTCAACATTGCCAGGACGACATCGAAGCAACCTCTCGTGGTGACAAACTCGAGAGGAGCAAAACCTCCTTCAG